CTCTCACCACTGTTGCTCAGCAGTGTCCTGTCTCGAGTGTGGCCACCAGCTGATCGCATGGCTTTTTATCTCTCAGACAAGGATTGATTCATGAGTGAGGCTTTCAGAATCCAGACTAAAAATATGTGACCCTCAAGGGGAAAATCAATATCGAATCTAGCCATGGCAGTGAGGGAAGAAAAGTTTTCAAAGAACATTCTATTGGAAAGGCCAAGGGAAAACTGTCTTTATTTGCAAATGACATGATTTCATATAGAGAAAGTCCTAAGGAATCCACACACACACACTCAAAAAATAATACTCAAGCTAGTAGACAAGTTCAGCAAAGTTCAGGATGCAAAATGGATACACCAAAGTCAATTGTAGCTGGGTATGGTGGCACATGTCAATCCAGCTCCTCAGCAGGCTGAGACAGGAGGCTCCCACGTTTGAGGCCAGCCTGGGCAATTTGGTGACACCCTGCCTCATAAAATAAAATAAAATGAAGAGGGCTGGGGATGTAGATCAGTGGTAGAGCACCCCGGGTTTAGTCCCTGGTACAACAATAAGAACAGTGAAAAAGTCAATTGTACTTTATATACTTTCAATGAACAGCCTAAAAATGAAACTAAGACAGCAATTCCTGGGACTGGGGTTGTGGCTCAGTGGTAGAGAGCTTGCCTAGCACATGTGAGGTACTGGGTTCAATCCTAAGCATCACATAAAAATAAATAAATAGGGCTGGGGTTATAGCTCAGTTGGTAGAGTGCTTGCCTCCCATGCACAAGGCCCTGGGTTCAATGCTCAGCACCACACACACAAAATAATAAATAAAATAAAAATAAAAAAATAAAAGAAAGCAATTCCACTTACAATAGCATCAAAAGAACAGAATACTTAGGAATACACTTAACCAAAGAAGTATAAGATTTTTACTCTGAAAATTGCAAAACATCTAAAGACAATAAAGAAGAAATAATATAGGTAAATGGAGAGACATCTCATGTTCATGGACTGAAGGACTTAATATTACTATGAGAGCAATAATACCCAAATTGATCTACAGATTACACATAATCCCTATCAATATCCCATCTGGGCTGGGTTTGCAGCTCAGTGGTGAAGCACTTGCCCAACAGGTGTGAGGCCCTGGCCTCCATCCCCAGCACTGGGGCGGGGGGATCTAATTGGTTATTTTGGAGAAATTGTCAAGTTGCTCCTAAAATTCATGTGTATTCAATGTAAGGCCCCAGAACAGCCCCAACAATCTTGAATAATAAGAGAGTTGTAGGGCTGGGGTCGTAGTTCAGTGATAAAGCGCTTGCCTAGGATGGTGTGAGACGCTGGGTTTGATTCTCAGTACTACATGTAAATAAATTAATTAATTAAAGGTCCATTGACAACTAAAAAAAAATATTTTTTAAAGTTTTCAAACTCACATTTCCTGATTTTAAAATCAGTGATTAAGTCAGTATGGTACTGGCATAAATACAGACATATAAATCAATGGAATGTAATTGACAATCCAGAAATAAACCCTTATATATAGGTCAATTGATTTTTGATAAAGGCACCAAAGCCATTCCATGGCAAAAGCCCAGTCTTTTCAACCCACGGTGTGACAACTGGGTAGACACCAACAAGAATACAGAGTAGGACACCTGCCTCCCCACCACACATGGCAGTTAACTCAAAATGAATCCAAGCCCTAATGGAGGAGCTGAAACTGAAAAATCTTAGAGGAAAACGTTATGTAAATCTTTGTGACCTTGGATGAGATAATGGTTTCTTAAATCTGTCATAAAAAGAAAAAAGAAATAAGCCACAATAACCAAAAAAAAGATAAATTGTACTTTATCAAAAATTAAAAATGGGACTGGGGTTGTGGCTCAGGGGCAGAGCGCTCGCCTAGCATGTATGAGGCATGGGGTTCAACCCTCAGCACCACATAAAAATAAAATAAAGGTAATGTGTCCACCTACAACTTAAAAAAAATTTTTTTTAAATGTGCCAGGTGAGATAGCACATGCCTGTAATCCCAGCAGCTTGGGAGTTTGACACAGGAGGATCAGGAGTTCAAAGCCAGCCTCAGCAAAGGCCAGGCACTAAGCAACTCAGTGAGACCCTGTCTCTAAATAAAATGCAAAATAGGGCTGGGGATGTGGCTCAGTGGTCAAGTGTCCCTGAGTTCAATTCCTGGTACCCCGCCCCCTGCCCCCCCCCAAATTAAAAAATGTTGCTGGGAGCAGTGGCGAATGCCTGTAATCCCAGTGGCTTGAGAGTCTGAGACAGGAGGATTGTGAGTTCAAGGCCAACCTCAGCAACTTAGTGAGGCCCTGAGCAACCCAATGAGACCCTGTCTCTAAATAAAATACAAAAAACGGGCTGGGGGTGTGGTTCAGTGGTTAAGTGACCCTGGGTTCAATCCACTGTACCTAAATAAATAAATAAATAAGAAGAAATGTTGTGCTTCAGAGGACACCACAAAGAAGAGACAACCCACAAAATAAGAGAAAATATTTGTAAATCATATATCTGACAAGGGACTTATATCTAGAAAAGATTATTTAGGACTCAACTTAAAAAGACAAATTACCCAAATAGCAAATAGATGAAGGCTGTGCAGTCATCTCTAAAGAAGATACACAAATGGCTATGAGCACAGGAAAAGGTGCACAATATCTTAGTCCTAGGAAAATGCAAATTGGCCATAAGATAACATCTCCCCCCCCATGTCTATTAGGTGACAGACACAATAACAACTGTTGCTGAGGATGTGATCCAGTTGGAACCCCCATACACTGAGGAGGGAACACAAACTGATGTGACTACTCTGGGAAACAATTTGACAGTTCCTAAAAGAGATAAACGTAGAATCACTCTGTAACCCAGCACAGAATCACTCTATGACCCAGCAATCCTATTCCTAGGTGTACCCAAGAGAACTGAAAACCTATTTCCACAAAAGAACCCATAGCAAGATGATTCATAAGAGCTAAAAAGTGGGAAACAACCCAAGTGTCTATCAGCTGATAAGTCAATAAACAAAATATCATATAGTTCTACAATGGAATATTATTGTGCCATAAAAAGAGAGTGAAGTACGGACACATGGACAATATTGGTGCCCCTTGAAAATATGTTCAATGACCAAAGTCAGACAGTAAAGGCTACCTAATGAAATTTTGTACAATTTTATTATATGAAATGCCCAGAATAATCAGATCTATTTTGACAGAACATAAATTGGTGGTTGCTGGGGGGGTCCTGTGGATATGAATGGAGATGACCACTAATAGGTATGGAGTTCTCTTTTAGGCTAATGGTGATAATTGCACAAATTTGTGACAATACTAAAAATTATTGAATTGTGTACTTAAGTGTGTGGGGGGGGACAAAATGGCTTGATTGCCAAGCCCTTTTCTCCTCTGTCCCTGGCAGTTTGGGGCTCACCACCCCTAAGACCCCAGGGAGCTGCAGTGGTTTCCCCAGGCTGCCCTCTGGCTGGTGGTCAGAGTTGGTTCAGAGCAGGCTGGCCCTCTGAGATGACCAGCACCTGTACCATTCAGGAAACCCAGGATTCTCTAGCTACGTGCCCAGGGCCTCTGTTAAACACACCTTGACCCCACACACGCGCCTGACAACTCCAACCCTGAACATGCCCGTTCGGATGGATCTAATACCTCGAAAGACAGCCGAGAAAGGCCAGGGGTCACTGTGATGCAGATGGCGTGACTTACGGAAAAGGAGAGGGGGATGGGCGGGTGTCAGTGGATAGAGCAACCAGGGCCCAGTTTTAACTTGTTGGGTCTGAGTGGAGGGTCACAGGTGTCCACTGGACTATTTTTTTTTTCACTTTTCTGAAAGCCTAAAAATTTTTGAAGTAAAAAGTTGGGGGGAAATTTTAAACCCCAAATTAAAAAAAATGAATGAAAGTTTTGGAAAAAGGCCAATCTTGATAAACTGATGAGTTGTACAAATTCAGACACATCTCTCAACTGTATCTTTATGTTGTAGAGAGAGTCGTAATTATATCTGAGCGCTATTTGTTATTCTTCGTTATTCTGTAGGTAAAACACCTGGAACAATCCCTGGCAAATTAGTAGTTGCTCAATAAAAGGCACGACTTGAGAAATGAACTGGGAGGACAAAACTCCATCAGAAGAGTTAAAAATGTGCGTCTCCCATCTGCAAGGGCTGACGACGTTTCTCTCCTTTTTACAGCTTTTCCCGGGTGCTGCAGGAAACAGTGAGAGCACTAGCCCCCCAGAGTGACGTGGCGTTCATGCTGTCAGAAGACGGCAGTGGAAAGGGAGCAGCTCTCATCACTGCGGTGGCCAAGAGGACACAGCAGTCACGGAAGGAGAACTAGGAGTCCCCAAGGTCGGGCCTGACGCACCTCGGATACTCACCAGCCCTTCCTCTGGCAGATGAGTGGGTCAGGGACCAAAAGGCCACCTCCCGACGGACTTCACCTTCTTGGTGGCTGAAAGAGGACCCCAGGCTCTCGGGTACTCTTAGCATCTTGTTACTGGTTTTGCAGTGACATTATATGGCATCTCCATTGGGTATATGTTAGGGCCAACAACAGCCCAAATTGTGAAATCGAAGTCTCTGGCCTGAGAGATCCGCTTTCTGTGGCTTTGGGTCCTGTGGCTGCTGGATTGGGAACACAGTCAGTCTGGCCCCATGGCCCGGGTGACTGAGTTCCTCCCGGAGATGCTCGAGGAGTGCCCTGGGTCGTCCACTTGTGGAGGAACAGTGCAGAGGATGAGAGACTCATGCACTAAACCAGGGGATTGTAATCTAACTTGGGCTCAGCTCATCACGTTGACTTCAAATGTGAGGCAAGAACAAAGACTTTGGAGTGTTCAGCCCGAGAGGCAGAGGGGCTGGTTGGCCAGCGCCCCACGGGAGTCATTCTGTGCTTGCAGGAAGCTGTACAAGCACCCTGTGGGATCTTGTATGTGCTTGAGGCGTCTTTTTCGTGGTTGCGTTGCTGCGTGGATGGCTTTTCAAGGTCTGCTAGGTACAGGAAATCCAGCCACTGAATAAAAAAAATATGTGGTTTCCCAAGAAACTTGGCATGAGGTGTTGATCTTTGCTCTGGGAGGGCTCCCTTGTATCTCCTTGTCCTGTTGGAAGGATAAGGAAGCCGTAGAGTCAGGAGGCGCTGAGGATCTCTTTAGTCCAAACTTCATGCAGCTGGAGGAAACGTTTGGACCGACTGATACAATACCCTTAGCAGAACGTGCCACGTCCACTTTTGAACTGGAGTTGACTGGGGTCCTCTTTCGACCTCCGTGGTTACATTCCCCTCCCTGAACTGGCCCCTCCCCACACCCATTTATTTATCTCCATTCTGTTCTCCAGAACTGTGTGGAACTGGCCTATCCTTGACTCTTTCTCCAGTGGACATCCCACTTCTCTCTCTCTCTCTTTCATTCTTCCCTCCTACTTTTTCTCTGAACTGTCTGTGACTTTCTTGTTACCTAGTTACATCCTCATCTGGCCTAGCAGATAATAATATCTTTTTCTTGGGCTGGGGTTGTGGCTCAGTGGTAGAGTGCTCACCTGGCACGTGTGAGGCACTGGGTTCGATCCTCAGCACCACATAAAAATAAATACCATAAAAATGTTGTGTCCACCTATAACAAAAAAATTTAATAATAATAATAATATCTTTTTCTCCCCCGCCCCTTGGAACTGGGGATTGAATCCAGAGGTGCTCTACAACGGAGCTCTATCTCCAGCCCTTTTATTTTCATTTTGAGACAGGGTCTCATTAAGTTGCTGGGTCTGGCCTCAAACCTGCAATCCTCCTGCCTTAGCCTCCCAAGTTGCTGGGATTACAGGTGTGTGCCATCAGGGTCAGATTATTATAATGTCTTTCTCAGACATTTTTTTTTTCATCAATTTATTTTATTTTCTTATTTTTTTTCCTCAGACATTTTTTTTAATTGCTCAAGTGTCCCTACTACGGAGTAATTCTTATTTGTACTTACTGAAGAGAGGCATGAGGACAAACAAAAGTTTCTAGGAAATCTTCCTTGCAAAAATCGGAGGCCGTCATCCTGGGAAACAAAATGAAGAAAAAATAGTCTTGCAGATGGGCCAGGTTGATTTCATTTTATGCACTAAATTACATGCTGACTTATATAGTGCTTCAGCTCCACAAAGAGTGGCGGTGTACCTCTGCATGAAGAGATGGTTCCCAGTGCCAAATGTCACCCACTGCTGAAGCAGGATGTTCAGACAGACAGAATGCAGGAGGCTGAATCCAAAACAGTGAGAGAGGCTGGGAACAGAGGAGGGACCCTGAAGGGTGATGGGTGGTGACTCTGCTGAGAGCAGATTAACTAAAATTAACCTAAAAATTTTATTTTCGGGGGAGGTATCAAGGACCGATCTCAGGAGCACTCAGCCACTGAGCCACATCCCCAGCCCTTTTAAAATTTTATTTAGAGACAGGGTCTCACTGAGTTGCTTAGCGCCTCACTTTTGCTGAGGCTGGCTTTGAACTTGCAATCCTCCTGCCTCAGCCTCTCGAGCTGCTGGGATGACAGGCTTGCGCCACTGCATTGGCTTTTTAAAAAAATCCTTTAAGGTTACACATCCCTGGAGATATGTACAGATTTGTTCAATTTATCTTTTCATATTTTGAGGTTATTCCTCTTTGGAGAAATGATCACCTTTGAGATTTGTCTTACCGAACCAAGAACCTGTCCTTGTTATCCTTCCCCACTTCTCTCCTTCTTTGGTACCACACCCAGGTTTTCCCGTCTTTCTTCCTCCTGGGGTTGAGAGGGTCTCTTTACTCAGCATCCTTCCTGGAGTGTTGATCTGTCTCAGAGATTCACATCGCTGTGCCACCAAGCCCTCCCGTGACCTGGTCTCCCAGCAAACATTTGGTGGGTTAAAGGAGGTCATCCAGTTTGTCTTCTGCTACATCTGGTCTCTTAGAAGCAAAAAAAAAAAAAAAGCCTGGGTTTCTAGGCAACATGGCACATTCTGACTAATTGATGGCATCATAGAATCCTTGAACCAGGACTGGAACTCTAGAGAACTCAGACATCCATCTTGCATCTTTACACCGGCCAGCCCCCGAAACACCTGGGGCGAAGCAGGCCTGCTGCTCAGTTTACTAAGCAAGACCAGCACCCATACAACAGGTGAGCAGGAACCCACAGACTTTTCCTCTTAAAACGAGCTTCACGACCTTCTATTTGTCCTTCTTTAGAAATCTCGTTCTTGTCTTTTTTCCCATTGGCAGGAAAGGGTGCTCCAAGAGAATCAGGACTTGGGTCTCCTTCCCGCAGTGCCCAGAGCCTACCGCCATGGCTAGCATGGAATAGCTCCTGGCCAGTTCTCTGAATGAATGAATGAGTGAATGAATGAATGCTCCAACAAGCACATGGGTGAATTATTGCTTTCCTTTGACTCTCCCTATTCTTCTGCCTCACCTGAGGGGGCTCGAGCCCTATGCACAGTATAAATGATGACTCAGTGGGCACCAAGCTCTGTCCTAGGCACCAAGGACCCAAAGAAACATGACACCTCTCCTTCCCTGTAAGAACTCGCAGGCAGCAAGGAAAGAAGGATGCGTAACTACCTGTAACACAACATGGTAAACAGGACCAGGGTGAAGGCACAGTTCCTGACCAGACCTACACCCTTTAGATCAGGCTCTCACAGCTGAGTGTGTGAGCATCGTGGACTTCCTTTGGTAGTAGCATGAAAGCTATAGATTCTTTTCCAGAATGTTTTTTTTTTTTTTTTTTTTTGTGGTACTGGGGTTGATCCCAGGGTGCTCTATCGCTAAGCTACATACCCAGCACTTTTTATTTTTTTATTTTCAGACAGAGCCTCATAATTTGCCCAGGCTAGCCTTGAACTTGTGATCCTCCTGCCTCAGCCTCCCAAGTTGCTGGCATCACAGACATGTGCCATGGCCTTGGCTTCTCGGAGTGTTTTTAAATGCATAAAATGCATAGAATTGGGCTGGGGTTGTGGCTCAGTGGTAGAGTGCTCACCTAGCATGCATCAGGCACTGGGTTCGATCCTCAGCACTACATAAAAATAAAATAAAGATACTGTATCCACCTAAAACTAAAAAAGAAATATTAAAAAATGCAAAGAATTACAAAGGAGATCAACGGTATTGAATTATATAGTTAAGAAAGTGGAGCTAGGCATGGTGGTGCATGCCTGTGATCCCACAGGCCTGAGAGGCTGGGGCAAGAGGATTAAGGGTTCAAAGACAGCCTCAGCAACTTAGCAAGATCCTATCTCTTTGGTTTTTTTAAAATAAAAAATTTTAAAAAACCAAAGAGCTGAGGATGTGGCTCAGTGGTTAAGTGCCCCTGACTTCAAACCCTGGTACAAAAAAAAAGTGGTGATATAGTTATATATGTGCTTCTTTATTAATGCATTATGTATCAAGATCCAACAAAACCTAATAACAATTATAATTTTGAAGTTTTGGTGAGTGTAAACAGTATTTTGAGACATTTGCAACAACAGTAATGAAACTATTTGTACTTTCTACTGGAAACAAAGTCACAAGTGCTGCTAATATTGATGTGGCTCTGTTTTTCCAGAAGTATTTAGAATTGCATCTTTGCTTTGTCTACACTAGTCTATAATGTTGAATGGATTTTCCCTTTATCTCTTGTAGCATTCTGTCTTTTCAACCTGAGACCCTTTGTTTTTACTAATTGCAGAAAATGTATGAGGTTTTGCTTTTTTTAAAAAATACATATTTATTTTTTAGTTGTGTTTGGACACAATACCTTTATTTCACTTATTTATTTTTTGTGGTGCTGAAGATCAAATCCAGGGTCTGGCATGTGCAAGGCAAGTGCTCTACCACTGAGCTACCACCCCCGCCCCCGGTTTTGCTTTTCTTCAAATATTTTCAATTTTTTTATTTCTTCTCTTTCTGGCACCTCAATTTTCCAAATGTTGGCATTTCTACTTCTGTTTTCCATAGTGTTTAACTTATCAAAAGATATTATTTCTTTTTCACAGCTGCTTTCTCAGAGATTTCCTCAATTTGATCTTCCAATTCAACAGTTCATTCTTTAGCTGTGTCTATTCTGACAGGTATCTATCTGACATGTCTTTGGCTATTTTCTAAAGAGTGTCTTTCAAAGAACAAAAGTTTTTAATTTTAATTTTAATGAAGTTGATTTATGATTTTTTTCTTTATGACTATGCTTTTTGTGTCTAAAAAAATTAAACATGAAACAATGACAACAAAACTCTAAAACCTTTGTCTAATTTTTCATTATCTTATTTTTTCATCTACCTATATTATGTGTTTTATATGTAATATTTCTAGTTCTTTTTTCTTCTTTTTGTGGGTTTTCTTTTTTCCTTTTTTATTCTAATATGTTATAGATGACAGCAGAATACAGTACAATTCATATCACACACATAGAGCACTATTTTTCATATCTCTGGTTGTACACAAAGTATATCCACACCATTCATGTCTTCATACATGTACTTAGGATGACGATGTCCAGGGTTTTCTTTTTTGCTTATTTGTTTTTTGGAGACAGGATCTCACTCTGCTGCCCAGGCTGACTTTGGATTCACAGGTTCTCGTGGTCATCTTTTCTCAGCCTCCTTAGTATCTTGAACTGCAGACTCTTGCCACTCCGCCTGACTCTTCTAATTCTCTTTCTGATTTCACATCTTTTTCATGTGTTTATTTTCTTCCTTATTTCATTATATATGTCTATCTACCTATTTTACATTCTTGGTCTCTCTATGCGATTTCTGATTTAGACAGTGTATGTTGCCCAGTTGATTGACATTTTCTTTCAGGTAGTTCTTCCTAGGAGTTTTGCCTGTGAACTTATACTCATGCAAGGATCACCCTGTGCTCTGTGTTGGAATGTGGCCTGGGTCAGGGCCACCCTAGCCTGAGTTCAGTGAGAGCTCGGGGAGGCAGAATTTTAGGGCAAAAGTCCCGGGCACCCCATATCCTCCCTCAGGGAAACCTTCCTGTCAGCCTGAAGCACCTCTCAGGCAGTGTTTTACCAACTGGTCTTTAACCTCTTAGGAATAAGCAGTGCTCAAAGGAGACACCTCACCTGGTGAGATCTGGAAAGGGGACATCTCACCAGGGGGAGACCTCCCAGTCCAGACAGGGTGGGTCAGTGCCGGAGACTAGTCAAGCTTCACCTGCTCCCCGGCTCATCACCCAAACACAACTCAGCCCTGCTTCTCCTCCATGGATACCTGTGCTGAGTTCTCAGGTTTCCCTGTCACTAGTGAAGGATCAGGAAACAACCAGGAAAGAATTGTCGTGGGAGCAGCGGAAGCTGAATTGATCAACTTTTTGTGGTCCTGGGGATGGAACCCAGGGCCTCACACATGCTAAGCACAGCTCTCCAACTGAGCCCCCCCACCCAGCCCAGCCCAGAAGCAGAGTTTAAACTGCTCTTCTCGAGCTGTACCCGCCTCCCCCAATTCTATCTCAACACTTAAAAAGCAAAGCAAAGCAGAACAAAAACGTCTTCTCTAACTCATTAATTCCAACCACAAAGACAGTCATTTCATGTGGTGCAGTTGATACAAGGGGTATGTTGTTTTTGTTGTTAGTGGTAATAAAAATGAGCTTTTACTCTCTATGTTACTTTTGTTTTGTTTTGGTTTGGTTTAACAATAAATTTTTTTTTGTTGTTGTTAAGAAAACAGCCTGGGTAACTCCTATGATTTAAGTCATCTTTAGCATTTTTATAGCTCCTTATAAGCCTAAATCAAGTTCTATCTACGAGGTTCTCGAGGGCTGATAAAATTGATGTGTTGTAGAGTGATCTACGGAGGGATGAAGGATGGGGCTGGGTACAAAATTAAATCTGCTGGTGGGATTAAGGCTGAGGAGGCAGAGAAAACGAGATTCCTAGGAAAACTGACAGGTTAGCCAGTGTCCCCCGGCAGACCCATCATCTGGGGGCCATTCTGCGCCTAACACTCACTGCTGGCCCGGGCAGCCTCTGGCTTGCTCTCCTGGGGTTTATGTGTGTTTGACCTGTTGGTCTACGAGGCTTTGGGAGCCCAGGCCCCACTCTGTTCCGGGCCTGGCTGAAGAAGACAGCGCTTCAGGTCAAATCAGAAACCCATCTCCCCTCCCAGAGAGCTGGGGCCTGTGGCTGGACCCTGGCCCAGATTCTGGCCTGTGTCTGGTCTGCGTGTGAGGAGGGGAGCGCTTTGGGGTGAAGGTGGAGTGCCTGGGTTGGACGTGAGGCTCTGGACTGCTGGACAGCGCCTGGGCTTCTGTACAAAAGACAATTGAAGTGTGTAGCTCAGTTCCTGTGATAACCCTGTCCCCGCCCTCCGCTTCCCGGGGCTGGAAGCCTGTGGGAGCACATAGCTGGCATTTTTGCTGGAGATTAGGAAGTCTTTTGCTACCTCTGCGAAGAAGCTTGAATTCAATGGACTGTTGTGGTAGGATGGAGTCTTTTTTTCTTTTTTTTTAAGGGAAAAAAAAAAAAAAAGAAACTCGAGATTTGGCTCAGGTTGTTACAAGGCAGTGGGACGATGAGCTCTCTCTCCAGTGCTGGGCAAAAAGCCACTTTGAGGGCGAGAAGCCACTTCATGTGGTCACATCGTTTGTTTGTCTTGCATCCTCAAGAGAATAGAGAGGCTGTGATCCCAGGAGCCTCGGAGGAGTGAATGTTCACCGTGATGCTCCAAAGACCATCTTCAAGCAAGAAGGGTCAGAGCCCCATTTCATAGTAAGTTTCGTTTCTTTTCTTTCTTTTTTTTTTTTTCTTTCTTTTTTTCTCTTTTGAACCCTAGGGTGCTTTCCCACTGAGCCACTTCCCCAGCCCTTTTTTAATATTTTATTAGAGAACACGGCCTTGCTGAGTTGCTCAGGGCCTCGCTAAGTGGCTGAGGCTGGCTTTGAACTTGCCATCCTCCTGCCTCAGCCTCCTGAGTTGTTGGGATTACAGGCGTG